TCTCGCTTGCCACCACCACCCAAAATATTCTACTTTTCAACACAGTGGCCAGTTGAGAATGTCAGGAAAATGCTTAGTATTTTACAGCTAGCACAAAGCTATTTGCCTCAACAGATGTGGGCAGAAATCTGGACAGAGATGTTAAATGGCCTGTCTACAAAGCACATACTGTTTCTGGCAAGTGCTCTTTTTACTCCATTAACTCCACAGTGCACAAACACTCAAACCTCTGAAGAGTGAACATGGCCTTCAGAGCTGAGAGACTGTAAAATCGCTTAGGGTTACAGGTGCTCAAAGAGGAAAACAAGAAAAGAAACCACTTCCCACAACAAATATATTTAAGCTAGACAAGACACCTGTGCGTGGCTCCAACTATGCCAAGAGAGCTCTCACCAGCTGACAATATGTATGTTTTGCGGATTCAGAGGTGCCAAAACTGGAGAGGCATCAAAGCTTCAGATCATTGTCAGAATCTGGAATTTAACTCTTTTCAAAATGAAAACAGCTGGCTAAGAGACCTACCAATGGATTACAGCCTGAAATCGTCCTCTCATGGCCTGAGGGACCCCTGCAGGTGCTCTTAGGTTTCTCCTCTCCTGAGCCTAATTCACAGAGTCACAGAATGGCCGAGGTTGGCAGGGACCTCTAGAGATCACCCAGTCCAACCCCTGCTCCAGCAGGGACACCCAGAGCACGGGGCACAGGGTGGCATCCAGGCGGGTTTGAAGATCTCCAGAGAAGGAGCCTCCACAGCCTCTTTGGGCAGCCTGTGCCAGGGCTCTGGCACCCACACAAGAAAGTTCTTCCTCACATGGGATGGAACTCCCTCTGTTTCAACTTGTACCCATTATCCCTCATCCCATCACTGGTCACCGAGAAGAGTTTGGATCCATCCTCCCTACATTCTCCCCTCAGGTACTTGTACACATTGACTTTAGTTAATTTAGCCCATTACCCTCTCCTGGCTCTCCTTGCCACTCTGGCCCAAAACACTATAAAAATATTGGTGATGACCAGAATTCGAAAAGGACCATCAGGAGCACCCTAGAAGACTTCCTAAAAGCCATCAGCCCCATAGACATATCCACGTAACTCATATTGAAGCTCTTCCTGGGTTGCTGCCCAATCTGTAACAAAAATGCTGCAATTGTCAGCCTCTAGAAGAAGGAGTCTCATGGGCACAATGGCAAATGGCTCACTGTGATAAAATGCATTGACTGGTGTGCTGGGAAGGGACGAAGGACTGGGTAGGCGAGGGAATAAAAATGCAGTAAAAAAAGAGTAGCAACTTTGGCGGGAGAGCTGTGCTGGAAAGCTGCTGCCTCCCACAAGGACCGGCGTCACGGGGCTCCCCGAGCACCGGCCAACAAATAACCGAGGCCTGAGGCCCGCGGCACGAGCCCGCTGGCCTCCACATCACACGCGGCGGCCGCAGAGCGCAGAACCCGCGGGAGGCGGCCCCGGCCCCCGCGCCCAAATGGCGGCTCCTCCG